ARMMAARCRRRSGSMRRCMATCAGATGAAACSCAGCTMGTGAATGGCAAACGGTGGATTACCTCCTACGAGTTCTTTTGTKGGAGTATGTATTCATAGTATGTACAATAGGTATGTTTAGATGTGCCTATTGTATATTTATAGATATTAATGGTATGTATAATATATTTAATAAGTATGTAGTTTCGCACTTCTTTCGATTTCTGTCTCTTTCTATGATCCCTCCACGATCCGTGCAAGTCCTGGCTTTGCAAACTCTGATCCACGGCAYATCGGTAGTAATGATTGTTACCGTACAGTACGGTACTTCTACTTCTAATCATCCACTTGCCTTTCCGAACACGACCATCGCACCGGTGTGTTTTGGAAGAACCGCAATCGACGGGAACGACAGTAGCAACCAGGGAACCACAGCAGCGACACGGTCAAAAACTTTCACCGTAGCACAGAAACAAACACAAACAAACCAAACAGGACCATGAGCGGATTCCTGCCCGACCTCGCCAACTGGGCCCTKCGCGGCGGTGCGAGCGACAGCGGCGACGAGGCCGAGGCCGAGACAACGGGAGAGGGATCCCCGGCCGCCCCCCCGGAACCCGCCATCACCGAGGCCGACATGCGGGCCCGACGGCTGGCGCGGATGGAGGCCATGCAGCGAAACCAGCAGCAGCAGCAACAGCAGCAGCAGCAACAACAACAACAACAACAACAACAAGAAACGCAAAAGAAACCCCAGCCGATGCAGATCGACACGACCCCCCCGTCCGATTCGACCGCGGCACCGATGGAAACCGAGGAGAGCCCGCCGCTCACCAAGAAGGCCAAGGGAGATCCGTCCCACCGCGCAACGGCCGATTCCAAGCCGAAAGCAAAGCCATCGACCCCCGTGGATCCCGCCCGGAAGCTCCAGCGGAAAAAGGAGCTCCTGATCAAGAAGGTCCTCCAGGTCACCTGGACCCGGCCCGGATCGGACAAGCCGRCCCACGACGACCCGTCCTGCCTCGCCATCGAGCTGGACGACGCCACCGAATCCGGGGTCCCGGCCATCGACGAGCTTCTGGCCAACCGCCTGTCCCTGCCGCCGGGCAAGCTGGAGGAAACCTCGCCGGCCCAGAAGCCCTTTGTTCTGTACCTCGCGTCCGTCCACCGCAGGGCCGCCGGGGAGGCGAAGACCCTCCGCCAGCAGCAAAARGAGTCGAACGCCCCCCTCCTGGAAATGCTCCAGTCCATCCAGAACCAGGTGGTGTCCTACGCCGCCAGCGGGCTCATGATACCCGACATGTTCGAGCAGGCCAGCGGCTCCAGGGGACAGCTCCTGCACGCCGTGGTCAAAACCTGCGGGGGAGGGGATCCCATGCAGGCRATCACCTACGGGGTCCGGAACGGAAAACCGGACTCGAGTTTCTACCACCAGCTCTGCGACGAGCTGCAGGACCAGGACGCCTCGGCCTTTGAAGCGGTGGTCTCCGGCCTCGCCAACAAGATCTGGGAGAGCCTCAAGCAGTGCGAAACCATCGACTCGACCGTCACCGTTGCGTGCGGACAGGGAGGATCCACGGCCGCGGTCACCTGCGGCCCCACCCAGCTGGTGTCGGCCCTCCAGGCCGTCTGCGGACACAAAAAGGTCGCCGCCGTGGTGGCCAACGGAACCGGCTTTTTGCTGCCGCCTCCGGGGACGCCGGAAGCGGCCGRAACGATCCGCCCCCCGATGCCGGCCGGGGCCGACCTTTTCCGGATGCTGGCCGGGGCCAACACCCCCAAGCCCTACAAGAAGCGGAGCGGGGTGGGGCTGGAGCGCCACACGCTGCTGGGGTCCGTGCTGAAGATTTCGACGCCCCGGAACAACAACCCGGCCTTTTCGTCCATGGACGTCCTCCGSCAGTCCCCGACCGCCCTCGAGGGGGTGACGCAGTCGCAGCGSAGGCAGATCAAGCTGTACCAGACCCTCTGCAACCAGCTGGTCATGGGCTTTGTCAAGGCGGGGAAGGAACCCCGGGACAAGCTCTTTCGGTGGTTTGCGGACTGCCAGAAGGTCAATTTGGGAGCCACCGCCATGAGGCCGGACTACCAATCGAAGGTGTCGAGCCCGGGATTGCTGCTGAACGTCAGCGTGGTCCTGCTCAAGCTCTCCGAGCCCTTTGTGGCGGACGAGGCGAAACACGGGTTGATCGATCCCCTCTTTGTCCTGAGCGCCGGGGACAACCGCGGGACCTTTCCCATCCGGACCGAGGGGGGAGGCGACGATTCTTTGCCGCGCCTCGGCGACGAGGGCAACGAGGGCACAAGCACGGGCGACGACTCCACCACTCCGCTTTACAAACCAAAGAACGCCTTTATTCCCCAGTGTTTTTTTTACACGGCGAGGTCCCTGAACCTGGGCATCGTCCCGCTGCTGAGCCAGCACGAGAGCCTCCTGAGGCACCTGTCCCACAGGCACTGGGAACTCAACAACAGCAACACGGACATCTTTAGCGATCCCCAGTTTCGGATTCTCCTTTCCAGGCAGCGATCCCACGAGGTCCCCCTCTTCCAGGAAGAAATGGTGACCGACACCCTCCGCTTTTGCGACCTGATGGCAAAGACCCTKTACCAGATGGAAAACGACGACATCCTCAGAAAGATGCCGGAGCACTTTGTCGACGACCTCTGCGAGATTCTGATGGGCGTGGCGAAGCTCCAGCCCAAGCTGCTCAGGGGCCTGCAGTTCAAGCACGTCTTTTTGCTGATGGTCAAGCTCCTCAGCCCGAAGTACGCSCCCATGATCCGCAACTACAACCTGCGGGCCACGCTCGGGGACGTTCTCTACGAGCTGTACCTGCCCGCCGACGGGGARCGGGCCAGGCGCCGGCGGGACGTCCCGGAGAGCATCGCCCTGGACCCCTCCAGGGGCGGCCGGTCCTACCTGCTCTCCGACGAGTCGGCGCAGGAATCCCTGGCGCCCTCCCTGCTCCTCTTGTACGGAGAGGTTGAGTACACGGGCCACTACGAGAAAATGTCCCACCGGGCAAAGATCTCGTCCCTGCTCAAGTACCTTTGGGAGTCCAAGGAGCACAGGCCCGCCTTCCAGCAGATCACCCAGAACAAAGACTCCTTCATCAAGTTCGCCAACGGCATCATCAACGAAACCAACCAGCTGATCTCGACCGTCATGACCAAGCTCCCGGAGATCAAGACCGCACAGGAGCAAATGGCCGATGCTGCCGCTTGGGGGCGCCTGACGGAGGAAGAACAGTCCGACGTCACCAGCCGCCTGGACGACAACGAGCGGGAGGTCAAGAGCGCCCTGCCCCTCTGCAACAAGACGATGCAGATGTTTGGCTACCTCAACACGGACCGCGAGATCCGGGACCTCTTCTTGCTCCCCGAGCTGTGCCCCCGCTTGGTCAACATGCTCATCCACGTGCTGGGRAAACTGGTGGGGTCCAAGGGAGTCGAATTGAAGGTACGTACGGCAATCATAYAGACGAGCGAGGCATGCATGCGCATTGCGAACGAACCAAGGACCGAGCACRTTTYATCTAGGAATAGCTGGCTGGCCGTCTTTGGCYYTGTCCGAAGGCTGCTACGAATGAAAACGAAACWCTCACGCCGTTTTTAACTAATTACCCTTATCCACAGGTCAAGGATCCGGAACAGTACGAGTTCCGTCCCAAGGAGATGCTGCGCGATCTTTGTGCGATCTTTGCCATCTTTGCCTCGGCTCGGGACTTTCAGCGGGAATGCGCCAAGAGCGGGTGCRACCCCAAAACCCTGAGGGAGGCCGTCAAAAACTGCCAGAAATTCAACCTCCTCACCGGAGACTCCATCGCGGCGTTTGAGTCCCTGCCCGAYCTGGTGGAACAAGAACTGGACGTCGTCAAGGCCGACGAGGCCCTGA